AACCCCAAAGACTGGCTTTAGGCTTCTGCTTCTTGAAGGAAAATTTCAGTGGTAAAGATGCCAGGAGCCGATACTGCTTTTCTTCTGAGACTGCTTTAGTGAAGCCACCCCACTCTTTTGAAACATCCACAGGCACCTTAAGCAAATCATGTGTTGCAAACATAATTGTAGTGGGTGTGAACTCCATCTGGCTCCTCAGCATGCCTCCCCTCAGCTCGCCTGGGCTCGGCAGCAGAGCCAGTGCCACCATCCCATGGAAAGGGGTCACGCTCATGAGCAGCACTTGGAGTGCATGCACAGGCACCCTCCTAAAAATACATCCCAGAGGAGTGCAGCTAAATGCAAACACTGCTCTTTCTGTAACAGATAGCACTTCCCTTACTGGATTGGCTGGCACAAGCTGATCATGGTCAAGTGATGCCTTGGTTTGTGAAGGCTGCTTTTTAAAAGAAAGAAAGTACTGAAGAATGAACACAGAGACTGAGCTTTTCAAATGAGCATAGAGGAGCCTGGCATTCTGGTATTCCCCTTTGAAAATCACAGAAGCTGGGCCTGAGGTTTCCATGATTCTAATCACTTTCTAAGTTTATATCGGATCATTTTTTAATGTTTCAAATAGGTTAAAAATACCTTAACCAGCATTTTTCATTTTTTAAAAGATTTGATATCAAACAATAATGTCCCTTTTACATCCACTCAGCCATATACTTTTTGTTTCCCGATTTTGTATTTGAAACCAGAGCAACAGTTTACATTTCAGAAATATATTTTCACAAGCATGAAATGACAATGATTTTCCTGGTGAATGATAAGTGCCTTTTAAGTACTAATTTCTAGAGCGATGTGGGGCAGATTCTGGCGCGTAACTTTAATTTTTTATGCTTAGCTAAAGCCAGGCATGTCCAGCCAGTAATGAAGCCAGGTGTCTAATGAACAAGATCACCCAAAAAAACCTTTAGAATTCCAGCTGTTAGCAAAAGGTATTTCTTTAATCCTACCTGTCACATTTTCAGTGTGTTCTCATCATTTTTCTGCTTAAATATAATCTTGGAGGATCATACTTTGAACAGGTATTCGTTTATCAGGTGGGTTTGATATTTGCATGTGTTTTTCTGGCTGGCCACTTTGCTCTAGGGAAGGCAGCAGCTGAGGACTGGGACCCACAGCAGGAGCAAGGACAGCCACCTCTGCAGGGCTGTGAGGCTGTCACTCAGCCCATCCCTGCTTCTCAGGAGACCCTCGAGGCAGGAGGGTGCGGAGCACAAGCCACTGGTTCCTGTTTCCATCAGCTTCTCCAGGGCCGGGTCTCTGGCTGACCGCGAGGGAGAGAGAAAGCAAGCGGTCACCTCCTGGTAGAGGCAGTGTTACTGCAGGATGAGCTAACAGCGAATGCATTGCTCAACACCCATGGGAGGGACTTTTTAAATATCACCGTGATCGCTGGACCCTCCCCTTCAACCTGAGACGACGCTTAGAATAAATCAGTCTCTGACTGACAGCACCAAAGATTTCATTTTTATCCCTATTACTAGCCTGAAAACATGAAATAAAAAGCCCATGGTGTGAGCTGTTTGAAGAGATATTTTGCATTTTAAAAAGGGGATGAAGGGAAAAAGAATTTGTGGGGATACAGACAGCTTTGCTGGGGAAAGCATCTCTCTGTTACCTTGAGCCGGCTGCCTCTTTTGAGTTTCAGCCATGACAGTAAGCCAGCCAAAAACTAAATGAGAAAACACATCCTCTAAACGTGGTGGGTCCCCTTGTGGTAGATAATTTCGGTGGAGCTAGGCTGGAATTAAATCATCTGCCCAGCACACTGCTCCGTGCCTGGCAGCAGCAGCAGGGCAGGGCTGCCCACCCAAACATCCCCGCAGCCCCCGGCGCGCACGGAGCCGCCCACGCCGTGCCCATCGCTATCCCTGGCACTGCTTTATCTGGCCAGCAGCCCTGGGCTCTGTCCCTCTGCCTCCACCACGGCGGGACATGGCAGCCAACCCTCACAAGTGGAGCATGAGCCTGCTGCTGCTGCTGCTGCTGCTGCTGCTGCTGCCAGCGTGGAGAGCTTTTTCTTAAAAACAAGGGCAAAATCGTGCTGATGAGCAAAGTGTCCTGACAGGAACTGAGCAGGGCACGGTCAGACGTTCCTCTCCTTAAGCACAGACTGATGTCTCTTGGAGGCTGGCTGATATTTAAGCACCTTCTAAAACATGACACCTTCCAATACCAGGTTGGGGGGAAAACAAAGAAAAAAAAGGACAGTCTGATAAACAACTGTCCCCACTCCATCCTGCTGCCCGGCTCCAATAGAGCTGAGAGTGCTGCTATTTGAGATGGGCAGAAACTGCTGGCTTTTGTTCAGAATCTATAGTGCAGTGGGCCCCTTCCTGGGGCAGGGAAGGTGGTAAGACTGGAGTCAGGCTTGAATTTCAGACAGATCTGGACTGCCACAAAAGTCAAGAACATTTAGAGGAATTTGGCCAGACCCTTTTCTCCTCTGTAATTGATGCCTCAAGCTGTGAGATCTCTTTTTGTTGTTGCTTGGCCAGAAATCCCCTAGAAATGCCTGTTCTTATGAGACTTGTGGCCAGATTGCCAGAGGCTACAGTCATTTCGGCAGTGATAGACATATCAAAAGCCAGATATTAAACTCTTCCTGATTGTGTATTGGAAACTGCCCCAAAGTTAATTCCAAAGCAGATTTGCAGAGTGTAATATTCAATCCAAGCTTCTTGGAGCCAGCCCAGCCTTTAACCTGAAGCTATAGCTTGTCTGCCTTGAGAAAAAAGAGGAACAGTCAAAACCCTAGCAGATATGTTTATAAATCTATAAGAAATAATAAACCAATAAACCAATACAGTTATCAGTAGGGCAGAGAAGTAAAATGAAAAATTCCTCTGGCTGCAGCCTCCACAATCTGGTGCTCCTGCAAAGGTGTCCTGTCCTTCTAAGCAGCAAACACAGCCATAAATGGCCAAGCTGCCAAGACCTGAAAAGTCCAATGTTTATGCCCATGTACCTCAACAAACGCTCCTTTCATCCTCTTCCTTTTTTATGCTGATAATGCACCAACTGTGAGATATAAAAAGTCTTTTGGGCTATCAAACCCATCCCTCTGGGTAAAAGGACAGGGCTCCACATTTTGATAACTGCTTCAATCTCTCTTATGTGTTATAAAATCCCTCTTCACCACAGCAGCAAAGACCTGGGTAAAAGTGTTTTGCCTCAGCTTCATCTTAAAACTTTTCCTACTTTGAAGGAGAATTTTGTGCATATTGCAGAGCTTAGCCTTTGCCTCCTTGACATTGCCAATGTCTTCAGGAGGGTGTACAGGACAACCCTACTGTGGGCTACAGCTTTATGGTGGAGTGAATGGAAGGGCAAGCTGCCTGGGGACACAGCCCCTGGCCTGTGCCTTGCACTTCATTCATTCACTACCATGTGCCCACGTGCTGAGCTGGCTCTGAGAGCTGACTGAAAATGAACCCTTTTTTTTTTTTTTTTTTAATTCCTCAGATTAGTTTTCAGCCAGCTCTGTCCTCTAATTCTTCTTCTCTCTGTCCATAGTGGAAATCTATAAATAGGAAGAAAAGGTGGATCTAAAGGAAATTATGGGAAGGCACAGAGGTGGCAAGCCAGCGTTTTTCATCTGCAGGGCCAGGCTGATGGCTGGCATAGTTACCCAAAATTACCCTTGCCTTTGAGCTGGAGAAACAGAGCTTGGGGGCCCATGGTGGCTTTGAGGGGATGCCCATGCAGGCTGCCACTGCACACATTAGGGAGACCTAAAGAGGCAGTGGCATTCACCAGCCCTATTTTGTGAATGGAGCTCTCAGCAAGGAAGCTTTCCCTCTTGCCCTCCAGTTTCTTTACTCTTAGCTGCACTGTCATTTAACCCCCTGCAATCCCTCTCCTTGCCGGCTGGCTGCATTTGCAGCCCATGGGAGCCGTGGGTACCCGGCCTGGCAGCTGCTGTCTCTCTGTCATTCAGGTCTGAATATTGGCACGAGTGGTTTGTAAAAGAGAGGGACCCTGCAGCACAGGCAGCACGCTGGAACTGCAAACTGGGGGCAGCTGGGAGGAATGGGAGCCAACAGTAACGTTCACTCCTACGAGCCCCCCTCTGGCTCTGGCGATGGGTGATGAGGGTCAGGGCTGAGCTGGGCAGGGGGAAAACTGTGCAGTGCAAGAGCCACGGGAGAAGGCTGCAGGGGGTTTTGTCTGATTACTTTGCGCTGGGAGAAGCCCGTGCTGGCACCTTGGGGTTCCTCTCGTGCTGCTGGAGGGGATGGCCTTGCGGACGGTCCCGGGAGGGTGCCCGGGTGACGGAGTAGCCCAGAAGGAGCCTTATCCCCGGCAGGGCTCACCGGAGCCTCGGGGGCCCCACACCCTGCACGCAGCCCCATCACACGCCAGAGGATGGGGTGCCATGGCTGGGTGCCACGGTCCCCGCCGCGGGGCAGCCCCACCGCGATCCCCCGGGCTGTCCCACGCGTGACCCCGTTGGCCACGCCACCCTCTGCGGTGCCACCGCCAGGCTGCCGCCGCGGCCGGGATCGAGCACCAGCGAAAAGGCCGGGAGAGACCAGCCCCCCTCCTTCCCCGCTCCCCCCAGACCTCAGCCCGAGGGTGACGTCATGGTGGGGGAGGGGCGGGCAGGGGGAGGGGACCCCCGCGCGTCCCTGTCCCCTGCACGCTGCGCAGCGCGGGGGCCGGCCCGGCCAGCCCCGACGGGGCGGCCCCGGGGGCGGGGGGGCTCTGCCGTGCTATCCCCACCCCCGGGGGGCGGCTCCTCCGTGTGCGTGTCTGTGTGTCTGTGCCTGTGTGTCTGTGTGTCCCCTCCCGCCCCCGCAGCGCTCCCGCCCCGGGGGGACGGTCCCGGCTGCCGCCCCCATCGCCACCACACGGGGCCGGAGGAACGCGGGGAGCGGGGGGGGGAGTTTCTCGGCGATTTATGGGGCGGGGGGACACGGGGGAGAGCGCGTAAATCCAGCCTGTGATGCCTATAAATGGCGCTCCTCTTCCAAGGTGCACATTTATAAGAAAAAAAAAATAAGAATAGGGGAAAAAAACCCGGCCGGTGTCATCCCCCCACGTCAGGGCCGGTGGTGGGCGTGAGGCTGTACTTCCTCCGCCCCCTCCTAATGGAGCGAACCATTCCCAGCCAGCCTTCCTCGCCCTCTCCCGCTGCCTCCCTCTTCCTCTCCTTCTCCTCTTGTCTCCCCCCCTTGTCTGCAAAGTCCTCCGCTGCTCGGAACTTGTTGGCAATGTCTATTTTTCAGCTTTCCCCCACGTTCTCCAAAGTAACTATTTAAAGATCTGCAGCCGCAAATGGTTTTACTAAATGTAGGATGGGACTTAAGTTGAACGGCAGTTATATTTCTCTGATCCTTGCTGTACAGATAGGTAAGTGGACTGCCAAATTCCGTGTCAAGTTGTGCGCGCCCCAGCCCGGCTGATGCATGCAGGAGCGGAGCGCCGGGATAACCCGCGCGGTCGGTGCGGGACCCCGCTCCCCGCGCTCCCTTCGCGGCGGCAGCCTCGCGTTCCGGCACGCTGTCAAGGCAGGGGAGCCCGCAGGAAAGGGAGACGCTTTCTGATTTCTCGTAAACCACTTTTGGTTTTCGTTTTCCTAAAGCGATGCATGCTCACTCATACTTCGCTTTTTATTTTCCCTCCGCCTCTTCTTCCTTCTTTTCCCTCCTTTTCTCTCGGTCGCCACGAACGGTTGCGTTTGTATCTGGGTTTCGGATGTTCCCTTCGTTCCCTTCCACTTACAGTTTGGTGGCTCCGGTGCTAAGAAATTTTCCTCCTCTCCCCGAGGGACAGATAAATTAGAACGGGCACAAAATGTCTTGCGAGAGATCTAGCTGGAAAGTTTTTTTGCAGAAAATCAGGGGGACAAGAGAAGGTTTCCCTTTGGGAACCAGAACGTTTTCCCATTTGTAGAGCATCTTGAAACCAAAGAAAACCCATCACTAAATTAAAGGAAATAATCAACTCGAATGCAGTGATTAAACAAATAAAAATTACTTTTAAAAATCGCGGAGTCCCACAGCCCAGTCGTTAATTTTGTGTTTGGAGAAGACCTGTCAAAAATCGAGCAGGTCCAAAAAAATTCTATATATGCTGTTACTTAAAATAGACCAGGTTTCTTTCCATGCCGGTGTGTATTTTGTGTGCTTGTTGCCGGTTTTGTTCAATATCTTGGGGTTTCGCTGGTTGCTTTTGTTGGTTTGCTCTCGGGTTCATTTTATACGTTTCTTTCATGAGATTTTTTTTTAGTTACGGACATTAAACAATCTCCAAGTTAATGACCACCTTGGTCCTATATAGGCAAATTTTAAAGATTACTACTGGATATGTAGATTCCCGAGCATGATCCAAAATAAGGTTTAAATGAAAGGGGGATTAAAGCACTTCTTTTATTATCTAGACTGTCAGGTGTGAAGAGCCCTTTGAAAATATTTTCCTGCAAAGGAATTCTGATACAATTAAAAAAAAAGCTCGGCATTGCTATTTAGAGATCCTTTTGATCGGTCACACTCCTCTCCAGAAAACCTCTGCAGAATTTTATGGGTAACAAAGAAAGAAGAGGGAAAAAAATTAAAAGGAGGGGAGAATTAGAAAGGGAGGCAAAAAACCCCTTGAATATTTATTCATCTAATGGGGGGGGGGGAGAGAGAAGAAATAGTGCAGCGAAATGTTAACCTCTGGGAAATGTGGTTAAATGATGCAAACCCCTACATTCGTATTACAATTCCATTTTAAATAAGGCTGAACACTTCACAAGGCCAGTTTTTGTACTGTCACAGAGAGAAGGGGTAAGGCTTTATTTGGGTGTTATCCTTAATTTCAATCCTTGCAATTTTTGTTTGTGTGTTCGTTCATTCATTTGGAGGAGGAGGAAGATTTTCTTTCTGTTGTGTTTATTTGGTTCAGCCGAGGATGAATTTTATTTCAAATTTCAAAAGGCAGCTAGAGTCGCTGGGAAATGCCGTTCCCGGGCTGGCATGAGCATGAGCAGTCGTTTGGAAAGTTACCCCCAAATACTGCTGCACACCGTGGGGATGGTGGCGGTGCGGTGGCTTTGCGGTGCCCTGAAAGGGGACAGCTTTGAAGCTCGTGGAGGGCTCTTCTCCTCTCTGCTCCTCCTTCGGTATTTAGGGTAACCTTCCCCCCACCTCCTCCACACCTCCCCACCCCCGGAATCAGCTTCTGTTTGCCGGTGTGGGGTTTGCGAAGGGCCACTGGCTTTGCCCCGTCCCCGGTAAAGGCTCGTGTGAAATGGATGCTCGGCTCGTTCCCAAAATGTCTATGCACCGGGACTTAAAAAAAAAAAAAAAAAAAGAAAAAAAAAAAAAGAAAAAAAAAAAAAGGGGGGGGGGGCCGCGGGCGGGGGGATTTATTTATTTATTTATTTATTTATTTATTTATTTATTTATTTGGGATTTAAGCATAGGAGATTGGAGCTGTCCGAAATCCCTGACATTTTGGGAGATGACCGAGCTGGGGGCTGGGGTGGGCTAAGTCTCTGCGGAAGGGACAGGAGGGATAGACCAGTCGCAGGACTGGGAGAACGGGGAATGTGTTTCGGGAGGGGGCCCGGTCCGTCACGGAGGGCTCCTGCGGTCCTGCTGCATTGCACATTGCTGCACACTGCTGTCTTTGGATGGGTGCGGGCTCTGGAAGGTCGTGGCAACGGCAAGGCACAAGCGACCTAGTTCATGAGAAATCCCGTTGTCTTTGAACCAGACAGGAACCGTGTCTATCCGCTTTTGCTTTTTTCCTTTTTTTTCCCCCTTCCTTTTATAATTTTTTTAAATTTATCGGCGGGGTTTGGGGCAGCTTAGAACCGGGGATACCCCGTGCGGAGGCAGCGGCACGGGCAGACAGGGCCAGGCTGTCCCTCGGGGGCGAGGGATGCTTGGCTCACCACTGGTCCCAAAGGTGACCCCCGCCACCCCCCGTCCCCCGGCCCCAACCTGGGGCAGGGCTCCTCTCCGAACCCCGGATTTTTAGCTCAGCCCGACACTTTTTTTGCAGAAATTCGTGGCAACTCCCCCTCGGCTGTAGCTGCTGGGAGAGAGATGGCGCGGGTTTTATAGGACATGGTTTTACCATCGGGATGGTCTTCGGTTCTTCTCTATTTGTTTGCCTGGGGTTTTTTTCTTTTTTTTTTTTTTTTTTTTTCCCCTATCGTAGCCAATGTCTGGAGCCTGCTGGGGGTTTGAGGTGGCGGCTGGTGCTGGTGTGCGTGTGTGTGTGTGTGTAGAGGGGAGTGGCCACCAAGTCATGTTAGTGATGAATCAAACGGCAAGAGGAGGATTTGGGTTGAAACAGTCTCTTTTGGAGTCAGCCATTTAGCTTGTAACCCGTACCCGGCAAGGAAACACACACACACACACCCCGTGGGGTGTCACAGCCATTCCCTGGGGACACGGCGCGGGCGGTGTCCCCTCCCGACGCCCGACGGTGTGGGCGGCAAGGGGCTCCTCCTCAAGGGACGGGGGAAGCCCCTTCCCGCCCCCGCTGGCCGCAGCGACATTCCCCAGGCCCGGGGACACCGCAGCGTCCCCAGCTCCCGCCACGGGCAGGAGAGCGGCGGGCAGCCAGCGCCTCGCCGTGCCCGGGTACCCCGTGTGCGGGATGCCGCGGGGGGGCACAGGCCTGCCGCGGGTCCCGTGTCCCATCCCGTGCCGTGTCCTCTCGGGGCACGCAGGAGGAGCCCGTAACTCATTTTCTTCCCGCGTTTGCAGGCGGCTGTTCTTGTGTTGGTTCCTGTTGTGCTGAAGCGAATGCCCTTGGCCAGAGCCATCCCGGGGGATGCCTGGGCTGCCCGGCAGGTTTGGGGGAGCGGGGCTCACCCCGGCCCGGTCCCGCCCTGCCGCCCCAAGCACAGGCACGGCCGGGTCGGCACCCCTGCCGCTGGCTAAGTGATGTCGCGGTCCCTTCTTTGAGTGTCTCTATCGCAGAGATAGAGGCGATAGGCGCAAGACGCAGCTCTTTCTAGTGATTTTTTTTTCATTATTACTATTTTTAATTTAATTTTTTTCCCGCTGCGCCTTGCACGGTGTTTGCCCAGCGACCTGGGCAATAGGGAGCGTGTGCGTGTACGTGCGCCTGCGTTTGTACGGAGAAACGCTCCTGCTGCTTCCAGGAGGAATTTTCTAACAAAGGATCAAGTCCGGGGAGAAGCAGGCAGCGCATCTTCACCTCCCCTCCTCCTCTCCCCTTAGAGAAAAAAATGGAGGGAAAAAAAAAAAGGAAAAAAAATTAATGAAAGCAACGTCGCTAATCCACAGACACCGAACCCTCCGGTACTAAAAAAGAAAAGGGCGAAGAGCCCCTGCCTCACCTCCTCGAGCGGCCGATGGCGAGCCCGGCTCGGTCCCAGCGCCCCTCTGCTGCCCCAGGTCGCGCTTTTAGCAAGGGCTGGGGGCGGGCGGGGGAGGAGAAGGGCAGAGGCGAGCGGGGCCGGGGGCGGCGGCGCTGACCTGTGCCCCTGCCCCCGCAGCGTACCTGGTGCAGGCGGTGAGAGCGGCGGGGCGGTGCGATGCGGTCTTTAGGGGCTTCTCGGATTGTTTGCTGCGGCTGGGCGATAACATGGCCAACTACCCGCAGGACCTGGACGACAAGAGAAATCTGCAAACGATCTGCGCGTAGGTCTTTCCTCTCTTCTTCGGGTCGCGGGGGGAGAATGGGGGTCACCCGGGGCTGGGCGAGGCGGGCGAGGCTGGATGGTGGCGGGAAGGAGGGAAGGAACGCAAGCAACGAGGGGGTTACGCTTTGGGGTTGGGATCTCCGCTCCAGGGTCCCTCCAAGCTCACTGCCACGGGGACAGGCCGGGCTTGGGGAGCAGCGAAGTCTGGCGGGAATTTTTACAACGTCTTTTATTTTTTTTTTTTTGTTCTCTTTTTTTTTTTTTTTTTTGCCTCCATGAATCTGAGGTGTTTTATTTTCTGGTTTGTTTTCTTGGTTGTTTGTTTTTGTTGTTTTTTTTTTCTTTTCCCTACTTAGCTCCTCTTTCATATTCTTTCCCTTCCCCCGATCTGCTCTGGGGTGCTGACATTAGCTGCCCGGGCATCGTTATCCCTTTCCCTGTTGCTGCCTGTGGGACACGCTCACCGCCGGGCTCCGGGCTCCCCCCGAGGCCGAGGCGAGGCTGCCCACCCTGGCCGGGCACAGCCGGAGCTGGGGAGGCTGCTCCTCGGAAAACAAAACGTAATTAAAAAGGGAAGAGCCCTGTCACGATATGAATCGCCCAGCGGCAGGGAGGCGGCCGTCCCAGCGCCAGCTCTCTTCTGCCACCTCCATGGCCCCGGGAAAACCCGTTTGCCCCCAGTTTCGCCCTGCTCCTGGCACAGAGGGCACAAGAAGGAAAGGGCAACGATAAAGGGGAGTAAAATAATAATTGTAATAATAGTAATAATAATGACAAAAGCAATAACAACAACAACAGCAACAAAAATATTAAGAGGAGAAAAGGAGCTCGCCTCGCAAAATCGTGTCCCGCACAGGGAGGAAAACACGAACATTTTCGAAATGTCTGGGAGGAAAAAGGAAAAAGCCGCCACAAAACAACAAAACAAAAACCCCAAACCCAAACCACATATATTAAAAAAAAAAAAAAAAAAAAAAAAAAAAAAAAGAAAAGAAAGAGGAAAAGAGCGGTTGCAACACAGGGTGTTTTGCCTGTTTCTCGGTGCAAAATCCCCCGTTAAAAAAAAAAAAAAGAAAACAAAAAAAAAAAAAGAAAAAAGAGTAATCTTTAGAAACGAGAGAGTATCTTGAGACATAAATAAGTTTGGAATAGTTGTGGGGTTTTATTTTGCTCCGCAAAAATCAGGAAACAAAAGACATGAAATGGGAAGAGGAAAGGAAAGGAAAGGAAAGGAAAGGAAAGGAAAGGAAAGGAAAGAAAGGAAAGGAAAGGAAAGGAAAGGAAAGGAAAGGAAAGGAAAGGAAAGGAAAGGAAAGGAAAGGAAAGGAAAGGAAAGGAAAGGAAAGGAAAGGAAAGGAAAGGAAAGGAAAGGAAAGGAAAGGAAAGGAAAGGAAAGGAAAGGAAAGGAAAAAGAAGTGTGAAGAGACTCTGTAACACTCCTCTCTCTCTACCTAGGTATTTCTGAGTCAAACACCTAAAAAGGCTGGCACCTCTCTGTAAATGCTGGGCTGCGGTTTACTTTGTGTCCTGCAACAGAAATAAATACCCGTGGGCAGCAGCGTTCTGATTTGGTATCTTGTACCCTCGAGTGCCAGACCAGATGTGATCCTGATCTCTAAAAATAACTCTTTTCCAAGAAAGACCCTTTTCCCGACCACCTCCCACCATCCGATTGCCTTCATCCTGTGCTGGGATGTGTATTGAAAGAAGATGGTGAAAGATTTAATTTTCCTTTGGGAGATGCAATTACAGCAGAAAATACTGCAGGAGAGGCACACTCTCAGACTCTGGCTTCTCAGTATCTCATTATTTATTACAAATGTAGCAAACATTGGGAGTCTACAACCAGCCTAGAGTGCTCATAAATTAGAGGCAGCAGGACTACTTTGGGAAAAAAAAAAAAAAAAAGAGAAGAAAGAAAATCAAGACCCAGTTTCGCAGACGTCTGCCTTGAGGCATGGGGGAAATAGAAGGCAGATTCGGGGTGATTTTCGGTAACTCAGACATGGAGAGGAAAGATCCTCCAGTGCCCTCCCTATGCGGTCCATGGGACGACGGGTGCCTGCCCCGGCGACAAACGCCGGTCCAGTCCCCGTGAAGAAAGGAATTGGGAAAAAAAAAAAAAAAAAAAAAAAAAGGAAAATTTGTGCGAATAGCTGGAAATTATCCTAAGAAATGGAATCTCTTCCCTGGCTTTAAATCCCTGGCCACGGATCAGGGGTCGCTCCCGCTGCCCTGCTGCGGGTCGGTGCGAGGCGCCCAGAAGCGGAAGATGCTCCTTCTTCCTTCTCCTACCCTTCCTGCTTCTCCTTCTCTTCCTCCTTGAGCTTTTCCCGCAGTAAGGGCCTTTCCCCGCCCCGGGGAATCCCTCCCGAGGGTTTCTGCCCGCCGCACCCGAGAGGGTGCCTTTCCCACCCCCATCTCCCCAGCCCGCTCCCGCCGGTGACGAGAAAGCCCCGGGACGAGCCCGCGGGCCCCTGGGCTGGCTCTGGCAGCCGGGGGGGACAGGTCCCCTCCTCCCGTCGGGCAGAGACCCCTCCGCCAGGGAGCCGGCAGAGCGATTTCGCAGCACCCTGACAGGGCTGGTGCCGAAGGCGGGGTTGGGGATGGGGGGGACCCCGAATCCTCGTCCAGCGGCTCCTCCCCGCCGGCCCAGCCTCCCTTCCAGGCATGCCCGGCTGGCTCCGCCGCGGGAGGAGGGGGCGGGGGGCCCGAGGGGCGGGCCCCCTCCCCGGGATGTGGGTGCCTGCCTGTTCTGACGCCGGCTGCTCTCCCTTCCTGCAGGTACTGGGATGATTTCCACGCCTGCACCCTCACAGCGCTCACCGATTGCCAGGAAGGAGCGACAGACCTCTGGGAGAAATTGAGACGGGAATCCAAAAACCTCGATTTCCAAGGCAGCTTATTTGAACTGTGCGGAGGCGGCAGCGGCGCGGCGCCGTCCCTGCTGCCGCCGGCCTTGCCCCTGCTGCTGGCGGCTCTGTGGGCCGCCCTAGTGACCTGGCTGCCTTTCTAGGGGGGCGAGGAGCACACTCACACCCACACCCTCTCCATGTGCTGGATCTATAGAGGAAGTGTCCATCCGTTGCTTTGGGGACGTTGTGCTTTTCTGTGGTTGATGATGATGATGATGGTGGTGGTGGTGGCTGATGATGGTGAAACACCCATGTAGGACTGTGGAAGCGTTCTCCCTTTTTTTTTTTTCCTCCTTTTTTTTTTTTTTTTGTGTTTTATTTGCCAAATCTTACCAAACAGGCAGCGGCGCGCAGCCCAAATCGGACCTCAGCTTTACTATCGCTTCGAATCAAAAATAGAGAAAAAATATAAAGAAACTAACTCGAGCCCTCGTTGTGCAAACGCAATCTCAGGAACGGCTCTGGGCCACCCACTGCTAAGGCTGTAACCGGCCGGGTACCTCCCGGCGAGCCACGGGCTCCGCTAAAAATGTGGCAGTGTGCGAGGCGAGAACAAAAACCGCAGACAGGAAAAGGCACTGGCGAGAAATCCAAGGTAGATGTCCACGTGTGAAGCATATGGTGAATAATTCACAATCTCTCATCTTTCCTCCACAGTCGCTTGTTTTTTTTGGTCATTCCACTGGAAAAAAAAAATTAAAAATCTATAAAAAAGAACATTTTTCCTCAAGGGGAAAAGAGAGCGAGAGAGGGAGAGAAAGAGAGGGAAACGAACAGCTAAGGAAAGAAGGAGCAAGAGAAAGAAAGACGTATCTAAATGCCCGGAGGAATGAAGGAATGCTGCTAACATCTCTGAGAGTTTATCTTTACTTGCTGTTCGAAGGCATCTTTCCGAATTCACTGCCTTTAATTTTTTCCTCCTCTTTGTTTTAGATGTTACACATAACAGTAAAATACCTGAATATCCAACAGTAGAGATCACAAAAAGGGGGCTTAAATGTAAACCTAAAGGGAAAAAAATATAACAACAGCAAAATGATTTTGAAAAAAAAAAAAAGAGCCTTGATTTTAAAAGAGAAGAAAAATGTAATTTAAACAAAAGTTTATTATAAAGTCAATTCAGCAAAAAATAACAAAAAAAGATTTGCTACAAAGTATAGACAGAAGTATAAAATAAAAATTATTGTTTGAAATGAGGGTGTCGTCCTTTTTATAAAATATACCTAGAGTATCTTGGAAAGGACCGGGCTTTTAAGGCAAGGAAGTCTAAATCTTGAACCCATCCCTTGACGAACACGGCAATTTCAGTTCAAACAAGGACAGGGTGCCTCAATCGCTTAGTCGAAGCCTTTCTCTCTCTCTCTTTTTTTTTCTTTTTTTTTCCTCTCTTTTTATTTTCCCCCTTCTTTTGCTCCTTATAAATGTGCTGTAAATCCTCCCACCCTCCTCCTCCTCCTCCTGCCCCCGAAGCCGGGAAGCGCAGCATTCCCGCGTTCCGGGCCGGCCGGGGGCGGCGGCGCGGATCTCCCGCGGGCGCGGAGCGCTGCCCAGCCCGGCCGAGGGACGGAGGGAGGGAGGGAAGGCAGCACCACCATTAAGGGGGAGGAGGCTGCGGAGCCGGAGCCGGGGCGCAGAGGAGCCCTTTCATAATTAATAAGGCAGCTCAGCCGAAGGAGCAAGGGGAAGGGGGGACGGGGTATTGATTTCGCAGCAGAAGCTGCTCTAACCTCGGCTATTTATAGACGCCTGATGCCTTTATAAAGAAATACACATCAAATAGTGAACACGTCCTTTTTACTTTTAAGAGGAGAGCCCAGCTGGCGATCGGGGGTGGGTGGGCGAGTGGGCGATGGGGAGGTAGGGACCACGAGTTGGTGCGAGGTGATTTATTCCGCCGGGGAGCCGTCGCCTGTGCGATAGCTGTCCTTTGCCAATGTGTAGGGTGGCAGAGTCTCTCCTTCGCCCCCTCTCCCTGCTCCCTCCTTTCCCAAGGTCCGCAATGTAATGTGTAAGCAATAACAAATGTAACAGTTCATAAATCAAACAGTGGGTCGCAAGCCAATCTGCATTTCCCAAACGGATTGAATCCCAGCAACGAATGTGCTCGGGAACTGGAGTCAGGCGCCTTTACCACTGGAAGCAATGTTGATTTTTTAATGATAAAATACATTATGCGTGTGTTGGGGGGGGGCTTTGTAGAGCTCAGCCTCGCTTCGGCAGACACAGGTCTGCTTCAATTTCGTTTTACTTTGGCCTCCCTCTAGATTCAATCCCCACCACCACCAAAGAAAAAGGAAAACCCTGGAGAGCAGAGCTTTGTTTAAATGGTTCGGGTTATTTTCCCTCCCCACAGAGGATCTAGACCTAAATTGATTTTTCTGTGCACATCTCTGTATTCATGAGGTCAGGCGCTGCTGTTATGGTTTCCTGTAGCACGAAATGCCAGATGCCGAGGAGAGAGGGGAGAGGAAGCCCTTGCTGGGGTGCCAGGGGCTCCGCAGCTTGCTGTCAGTCCCGGCTGGGCCCCGGGGACCCCGCCGGCGGCCGGCAGCGCGCCCCGCTCCGCCCCGGGGTGCCCGGGCGCCGGTCCCGCCTCTGCCGGCGTCCCCGGCTCGGCTTCGGGGCGCTCCCGCCGCCGCCCCCGCCTTCCCGGCTGCCGGACGGTGCCCGTCCGTCGGAAGGGAGCCTGCCAGCTTTCCCTCACCCCACAGAAGAAAGCTGAAACGCCCGAATAAGGGGGCGATTTCCAGCTCATTAGCGGACTCGCGTTATCTTCGTGTGAAGTTCAATTACTAATGAATAATCTCTCCGTAATTAGCACATCCCCCAATTAACCCTCCGTTGAGGGGAATAATTAACGGCGGCAAACCAGTGAAAAACAGCGGAGCGGGTGGGGAGGGTGCCCGGTGGTCGCTCCCGGGCCCCTTTCCTCCCTTCTGTCTCCTCCCGGACCCTCCTGTTTGGGGCTAATAATTGTCGGGCGCTCCTCCCCGGGGCACAGGCCTGCCGAGCTAGCCGGGATGCACTGGCTGCATTGCAGCCCGGGATTTCCCGCACAGGCGGCAGGGAGGGCAGCAAAGCCCGGTCCCGCCGGCTCAGCTCCCCCGGACACGCTGGCAAGCGAGGCTCTTCCCGCCGGCAGCTCCGTGGCTTTTTTCGGGGAGCACGAATAACCAACAAACTCCCCCTTCCCTCCCGCTCTTTCATTTTATAAGAGCTCCCCAATGCGCCAGGCATTGGTTGTTCCCTTTTCTGCTTCTTTCAAGGGCCGTTTCTGAAGCCTGAGCGCAAAGGTTGATTTTACGTATTTAATTTTCTCCACCGCAGGGATGGATGGTTGCTCTGCCTTGCCATGTTGTGTGGGCAAGGAAACACGAGCCCTCCGCCAAGTCCCAGAAAAGGACTGAGTGTACTGGACTTGCCTCCTGCCGCCTTGCACCTGTAGGGTTTGTAGAGGCTGCGGGAAAGGCTGGGCTGCCTCTTGCCAGGCTGGTCCCGCTGCCCCAGGCAGCGGCTGCTGTAGAAGAGCTGGAAGAGGCTCAAGCCTCTAACATCCCTTCTTAACTCCCGGGCAAACGTGAGCTGGTGAACTGGAGAGGGGAAAAACGCAACAGAAGGGCGTTTAAACCTTGACAGTGACCACAGTAAAATTATCTCTCCTGCTTAAAAGAAAATGCTCACATATGCATGCATAAAGGAAAAAAAAAACCCAACAAAACATAAATGCAGATCAACAGGGAAAAAACCCGCAGCTGAAACAAAAGACAAGCCAGTGTATTTATTTCTAGCTGGCTGGATAATCAGGAAGAGTTGCAGCCATTGCGGCTCTGCCTGCCCTAATTCCTATTCCCAGCTCCGACTGAGCAGCCGCAGCCCCTCAGTCCCCGGAGGGCTGCAGAGCGCTGGCTCCTTCTTCCCCGGCAGCGCTGGATGCACCCGTGCTTGGCCTGCGGCTGCTCTCCCGCTGCCTCCCTGCCTCTCCCTTTTAGCAGCCTGGCTGAGCCCTGCAGGGAGAGCTGCACCTTGGCCCGGCTCGGGCTGCCCTCCGACACGGCAGGCGAGACCCTGCCGGCACTGGGCTGAGCTGGTGGCGGTCAATTATTTTTGCTTTAAGGGCAAAGAAAAAAAAAAGAAAAAAAAAAAAAGAAGAAAAAAAAAGAGACCTTTTCCCATCTGTTCAAAGGCTGTAACAGGGAGATGGAGTGGGCCTGTGCTGGGAGCAAAAGCTTGAGCCAGGACACACAAAACTGAGGAAAAATCTGAGTGGCAGTGAGTGCAAACTGGTTGGTGCTTGTGGAGGGAGCAGGGAGGCATGGTATGAAATAAGGTGCAGTATCCATTTCTGACAGGACTTTTTGGTGCCTCTATCTACATCTCAGAGGAAGCAGCCAGTTACTGATGGTCCTTGGCTCATTTGCACAATCCAGGGATGAATGGATCAGTGGCACTTCCAGCCCTTTCCTCTCCAGGGTCCTTTTAAAATCTGTGCAGTTGCTGTCCTGCCCAGTGAAACCCACTAAGTTCTGTGAGAAGGGCTGACAACCTAAGGAGAGAGAGAACAGTTCAGCCTTTCTATTCACCAAGCAGATTCATTAATGATTAGTGCCATTAGGTGGACTACAGTAGTGCCTGAGGGCCCCAATTAAAGGAAAAGTGAGCTTGTTAAATCCAGAAAGCCAGATTCTCCCTCTGATACTCCCGCCTGATGCAGAAGTGGTGCCTCCAGGGCGGGTAGCAGGAATGGCCCTGGCTTTCTATGTGAGCAGCCTCTGTGCCTTCCCCCCTCCCTCTTCCACCTCTTCCCTCTCCCCTGCCTTAGCTGCAGATCCTGCTTGCAGAGTGCTGCAGAGCAAGGCTGTTGCAGGAGTTGGCTGGCAGGACTTGCAGGAGGAGGTGTCAAATCAGCTTATTCTTCTGAGCCACTTCATTCTTCATCACAAGTGGGTTTGGGTGGGCTTTTTTTGGTTTAGGTCTTGGGTTTTTTTGGGAAGGGTTGAGAGCAGGCAAAGTGGTGGGGATTGCAGAGGAGTCTGTTATGAAATCAGATGCGATTTTAGATGTCTGAAAGAGTTTCTTTAGGCTAAAGGCAGCTGAAGATCAATTGCACTGTTGGCAAATGTGCTTCCAGCTGGTTGGAGCTTCTTTTGAGGGAGAGTTTCAACCCAGGGCCCATTGCAATGGTAGTACAGGAAAGGGCTTTCATTTGCTTTGGGCTAAGGACCTTCTGCTGCCCAGTTCTACCAGTGAGAAGA